ACAAGTTTCACTTTTTAAATGGAATTACTGAAATCAATCTACTTTTTCATGATATTCTAATTTTATGACCAGCACCTGTATAACAGGTAGAGCGTAGCCGACTGGTGTAATGTACATTGGTTAAATAAATTTTTTTTATTGACGTTACCCGGCGTGCGGGTAACGTCATACACACGCCGCTTTGTTTTTAAAAGATATAAATATAAAAAACATAACCTTGGATGTCTGGGGGACAGTGATTGGCCTACATGTTCTGAATGCTGGCGTACCATAAAGAATAAATTATGAACAGTTTAGTTTGTGCCTTCAAGTCGTTGCCCATAGGAAGACGTTACCTGGATATAACGGAATATCTTCAGAACGGCTCCAAATGACACAAAACTCATATGGGTGAGTAGAACATGATGTAATAACATAAAATCAAGGGCTCAATGTAAAAAAATAAAAATAAAATTCCCCTTTAAGGATATCAAATGTACTTTGGCCTCTAGGCCATTGACTAGTCCTGGATGGGCAGAATGATGACATTTGTTGAGAAGGCAAATCTATCCTCATTCAGCTTAATGGGATAAAACTGAACTTTTTTCTATCCTGTCATTACAAACTCCCTCTAGTTTCTAGGTGGGCTTTCTCTATCGTATAGTTTAGTTTTTTTCACAAATGAGACTATCATTTGTCATTAACATCGTAGTTTTAGTTTTTAAATGTGAGGAAAAACATGTTCAAAAGTTATTGACCGCCTTGTCTCACCAGTAAGATCTTGAGGAAAACTTCATGCTGCCTGACATTGTAGAGAGCCTGTTTGATTTGGGTGAAATCAAGCAGCCCCGACTGGGTGTCAGGATTTGTTAACTTCTCCAGCAGAGCTGTGTACCTCCACACCAAACACTGTGTGGTGCTCAGTTCATTTCTGATGCTTTCATCACGGATTTGAAGTCCTTCTTTAAGAACTGCTGGCACTGCAAAGACAGTTAAACTTTGAAATAGAAAACAGTTTAACTGCTCTCAGAGGTTCATCTGTGTACCATGACTCTTCTATTCTCAACTATTATGTTGTCAGAAGTAAATGGATCCCATTTATGTAATTCTATTTAAAAAAATAAATGGGATATCACCATCAGATACGTGGACAATGTTACCCTGCAGTTGGCAAGAAATGTCCTGATCCAACAAAATAGCTAAGCTGGCAGTCATGCAGAGATCCTTGCCATCCTGTCTTCAAGATGTTTAACCTTCCATTGCATTAGGAACAAGCATGCTTGTAGCGACAGTAGAGAGGAAAAACTCCCTTTGAACAGGAAGAAACCTCCAGCAGACCCAGGCTCAGTGTGAGCGGCCATCTGCTGAGGCCAACTAGGGTTCAAGGAGACAGAAGCAGACATAGTGTCATGATCTTGGCGCTGATGGTTTGGTTTTTTCCTTTGCCCCTTGCTCCCCTGTCTAATTAGTTCTGCGGCTGATTTATAATAAACGTTTTGAACTTTCCCACTGCCTGTCTCGCCTTGAATTCTTGCTCCAACATTCTGAAATCATTACACATAGAAAAAGAAGCAGAGATACAAAAGGCAGCTGTAAAAGGCGGCCCCGTCCAGGAAACACACAGCCAGGCAGACGAGCTCCGAGCCAGCTCCCATGTTAGAGGATGAAGAGAGCACATCCAGTTAGTCACAGTCAGATGGTTAAACATAAATACGGCTCTCCGCATCATGGTCCACCATGGTGGTTGTTTTTCTTGCCACTTCTGCATAGCAAGACACAGAATAGTGACCTTTGTCAGGAATTAATGTCAATCAGGTTGGATGCAACCTGGACGTAGCATTTAAAAAGATTGAATCTGTGTTGTTCAGACTGTCATGAAAAGATCAGATAAAGGTGGCAGATGGACTTCGGGTGACTTCAGGCTGCAGTGTGAACATAGCAAAAGTGTGGTGAACCTGCCTAACCAATGTAAATGTGCTTATGTGCACTCTGTCCTGCACCAGTTCAGTTTTGTAATCCAGTAAGAACCTGATGGGATTTAAAGGGGAGCGTTTACACATACTTAATGTCTGGATGCCTAAAAGCTCCTCGTCTTGCTTGCTGGCTTCAATGAAGAGTCGGATTCCCGTTACAATCATAGTGAGTTCTCTCAATTCCTGCTCCTTGTCTTTCTTCACCAGCACCAGGAAAGCTCCCAGCTCAGCCAGGGGTAAGACACTCTCCAGGGCAGCTGAAAGACAACAACAATCAGGCATCTATCATCACTGTTATCATCAGATTCCCTCAGAATAACAGCTTAACTAAAAGGTCTTTACCAAAGGTTTTTACTTTTGCTTGTGGATTTTACTGTAGGAAGGGATTGCTGTTAATCAGCGTCAGCTTTCTCAGGTTTGATTTTGGAAATAAAATATGTTGGCATTAGAGAAAGAAACTTAATAATAATTGAGCTTTATTGATCTCATATTGGAGAAATTCACTATGCATTTAACCCTTCCCTTTGGGGAGCAGTGGGCTGCTATTGAGGGGTAAAGGGTCTTGCTCAGGGACCCAGAGTGCAGGCTGTGGGGATCGGTGTTAGCTATGTGTTAGCTCGGTGTTAACTAGGTGTTAGCTGGATGTTGGCTATGTGTTAGCTCGGTGTTAGCTATGTGTTAGCTTGGTGTTAACTAGGTGTTAGCTGGGTGTTGGCTATGTGTTAGCTCGATGTTAGCTATGCGTTAGCTCGGTGTTAGCTATGTGTTTGCTCGATGTTAGCTATGTATTAGCTGGGTATTAGCTATGTGTTAGCTGGGTGTTAGCTATGTGTTAGCTCGGTGTTAGCTATGTCTTAGCTGGGTGTTAGCTCGGTGTTAGTTATGTATTAGCTGGGTGTTAGCTATGTGTTAGCTCGGTGTTAGCTATGTGTTAGCTGGGTGTTAGCTCAGCGTTAGCTCAGCAGTAGCTCACACTATGAATTGTAGAAACTACCAAACTGTTATCAAATAAAATCTATTCTACAGACTAACAGTAGAGTCTTGCTTTTTACAAACATGAGCAAGATGGTAGCATAAGGTCAAGCTGTTGCTGCATGTTAAGGGTGACATACTGACCGTCTGTTTCCAGAACACTGCCTAAATCTGTGGGCGAGCCTGTTCCAGATCGCAGCAGGATGTATGTGATGATTTGATGATACAAAGCGTGGAAATCTTCCCTGGATTTTGCTCTGATGTCTGTAATTCCTCTACTCAATCCACTTAGCTTGGAGTCCAGCAGCCGATGGATCTCAGCCAGAAATTCACCTGCAAGACAAGAAATCCTATTCAGGAGGAACTAAAAACATAAACACAGAGCTTCAACGGCCGATGAGCTTGAACATGTTTAATAAACGACTTACATTAACAAAAAGAAAGTCTGGCTTTTCTCTCTGATGTGTGCTAAACTACAAGTATAGATAAGAATATAAATGATAAAGATCCATCCATCCATTTTCCATCACGCTTGTCCCAATTGGGGTTACGAGGGGTGCTGGTGTCTATCTCCAGCTGTCTATGGGTGAGAGGCGGGGTCCACCTTGGACAGGTCTCCAGTCCATCGCAGGGCAACACAGAGACAAACAGGACAAACAACCATTCACAGCTAAACTAACCTAACAGTCATGTTTTTGGACTGTGGGAGGAAGCCAGAGTACCCTGAGAGAACCCACACATGCTCAGGGAGAACATACAAACTCCATGCAGGAAGACCCCAGGCACGGAATCAAACCCAGTACCTTCTTGCTCCCATGATAAAGATTGTTAGGATAATTATCACTGATGATGTGTGAGTTTATTACACCTTAACATCAGCTGCCTGTCGCGTGTTAGAACTGATGTTTTCAACAGTAGTTTATCTAATTAGGACAGTTCCTCATCCAGATATATACAGTAATAATCTTCATTCTTTCCAAGGCAAAGATGTGGGAATGGAATGAGAGCGGTGTCCTTCAGCTAAGAACAAAGTGTAATATTGTGATAAGGCTGCAGCCATGGAAATCTGCATCTTTGTGTGATGCAGATAATTTGCAAACTTGTATGATGTAAAATGTAATGATGCAGCAGACTGAAGTTGTATAAAATGCTTTTCTAGCTGTGATTTGCGTCCACTTCCTAAGATGTGAGCCCGGTTGGTAAGCAGCTGCCTTCTGTAACTAAGCAACTTCTCTGATCTGAGCAAGATTATAATTTCTATCAGAATCTGTTGTCAACTCTCCTGGTTATTTAATACATAAACATTATGAATTGTTATTTAAAGAGTTTGTCCTGAGTGATCTCTTCAGGAAAAAAAAAAAACCTGGAGAGAGAAAGCTGCAAGGTGTAGATACATAGGCTAACTCAAGATCCATCAGGTAAACATTAAAGAAATAAATCATGTTGGTTACTCACATCGAGAGGTGTAGTTCATGTCAAAATAAAGTTGCATTTTGATTGTATCCAGACTTGGGCTGCAGTCCTCTGTAAGCTTATCCAGGCAGAGCTGAATGACAAAATACGGACAGAGAGAAAAGAAATGCTGAGAGATCTTCATCAGGCATGGCTGCTTTTAAATGTTCGCTCAATGATCAAAGGGTTTCCAGACCACAAGATCCACTGTGCTCTGAAGTCCATTGCTCTGCGTTGGACAGCTTTTTAAGTTGGTGAAGCTGTGATTTTTGTGTTATTTTTGTTTTTATGTGGGTCTAAGTATTTCTATGGAGGACTAGGCCACTGCAAACTAGTGTTAAAACTGTAGTGTGTCAAGATTTTGTAGCTTATTCTGTGTTTTATATACAATAAATAAGGAAAATAGATTGCATTGAGATTTTAAGGAAATATCCAGGTGTTTAATTTCTTTAATTAATAAATGACTTTTTATGACTTTAACAACACTTAATTTACACAATTCAGACAATAGAATCAATTATTGATGTAAAACAAGTGTTGGTTAAAAATCATTAAATGAGGAGCTTGTTAAATTGTAGATCTCCATCATCTGACACAGCACATAAAATGTTAAAACCCCACAGCTGAATAAAATCCTCCATGTTGTGTGTCTCTGTGGAAGTGAAACTCCAGCCTTATTCTGCCTTTAACCTTCCACAGACTCAAGGCATCAAGGTCCTCTCCCCAAGGAGATCAGTTGGTTTTTTAATTGGAAGCTTGTATAAAGTCCCCCATTAGAAGGCTTTTCTCTCAAGTTTTTCTGTCCAGATCCAATTAATAAATTAATAAATGAAAAGAAGAAAAAACTATTTATTTCAATTTGAACTATCAAAAAAACAAAACAAAAAAACAGGCAACAGTTTTATACGTGAGAGCATAGTTAGGAATTAGAATCAAAAAGGGAAATTGTTTTGTTTGTTTAGTTAACCACAGGTGGAGATGATGATAAATATCTTACCTGTTTGAGTCTCTGGATGTCATGTTGGGTCAGCCTCCTGTCCACATTGAAACAGTTTGTTGGATTCAACACCACAGATTTCACCTAAGCAGAAAAATAAGGAATAGAATCTGAAGTCCAGCTCATTTCTTCTATGAGAGAAACGTTTGGTTCCATTTTATTCTTTAGACTCTGATTACTCACCATGAAAGCCACCAGAGTTTCACTGAACGAATGTCCTCTTTTCAAACACTCCTCCAGTATCTCAGAAATGATGCTTTTAACCTCATTTTCTGCTTCAAACCGAGACATGTTTATTGTGTTTGGACCCGGCTGCTATGGTAACGGTGTGACATCATGCTGGCCACTAGAGGGGGCTATAGTTCTGTTACATTTAACCCTTTATATGGCACCCAGTGAAATAGTTTGAAAATCAACATTTCAAGCTAATAGTTTTATTGGAATCCGGGACAAGACCTTATTACCTTTGT